ACCAATTTGGCGCCCTAGGCAAGATTTCAGGTGGCGCCCAGTCACATCGCAGTAAACTCCAATGCTAGTGTACATGTAGTCATAAGAAACTAAATAGCTTTTTGATTGACTACAAGCTGGGAAAATGTCAGATAAATATGCCAATGCAATTAACGTTATTGCTGAATAGATGTAATATTTACACACTTGCTTGAGGAAGTAATAATGGAGGTAGGTACATTACTATTACTATTTTCCATAACATCTATGCCCTTCCATAACATTAGCTGACGTTAAAACTAACAGATAGCACTATAGCTATATTGATTAGCAATGTTATGCCATATCTGTCAACGTTGGGATGTAAAAAATATGGGACAACAAATAGCTTCAAATGATAGAATACATAGCAAACATTAGAAAATATTGACAATAAAATAAAATGTTTAGCCTATTAAAAACAATGGCCTATACAGAAATTAAATAAAGCTCTAAAATATATTTAAATTTTAATTGTATTTGCATATTGATTAAAGTTACTATAGTTATTTAGTGAAGACCAGCAAATTAATCTCTCATTGTGTTGTGATTGATAACAGAGGTGTTAATGGAAGAATGCACAGATCTATATGAATGAATGAATGATTGAACGAATGAATGAATGAATGAAGCATTCCACTACTTTAGTAACTGTTTGTACTCATTCAAGAAAAAATTAGTTGTGTTTAAAATAAAACAATCAGGACAGAGCAAAAAAAAAAAAGAAGCACTTTTCCGACGGTCCCTTACGAGAGCTCCACTCCGCGCTAGCTCAGCTCTCCCAGCTAAACGCATATCCCCGGCTAAAGCCTGATTTATACTTCTGCGTCAAGTGACCGGCGTAACTCACGGCGCAGGCAACGCGAGTGGCTGTGCATTTATACTTCTGCGCGCTGTCTCTGTTGGTCTGCATTAACACTTCCGAAACACTAGTGGGCAGTGAGGTGTAAATGTTCCTCTGTGTCGAGTTTCTTCGCTGCTTTTTTGCTTTTCCTGAACACTTCCGGGATGTACAAGTGGCTCAAACTCGCTCATTTTGAGGCAGGAACTGGCGGACGTGCAACAACTTTAACTATGAGGTAAACATAAAACAAAACTTTTCATCCGGAGCTCCTTCACGGGACTCCACACTTGTAAACAATCGCTCGCGCGGCGTCGCGCCATTCGCGCGGCTTTCGGTCCCACCCAGACTCGTCAGCGCTACCAAGCCGACCAATCACAGAGCTTGCGCTACGCATCGTTGCGACGTGTAGTTACAATTTTTGAGAGGTGCACATCAGCGACGCCGATGGCGACGGCGAAGGGCTATGCATCAGCGCCGTAGCATACGCCGGCGTTTGACGCAGAAGTATAAATCAGCCTTAAACGGAGCAGTGATCGTAATGTCGAGCGAAAAAAAAAGAAAAAGACAGCTGTGAAACATAACCAGCTTTGTCTTTTTGTAGGAAACACACTTTAGATCTTTTTAGGCTAAGAGGTTTTTTGAGTGGTCACACTTTACAATAAGGTTCATTAGATAATGTTAATTAATGCATTTACTAACATGAACAAACAATGAACAATACATTCACTACTGTAATTGTTCATGTTAGTTAACGTTAGTTAATGAAAATACAGTAGTTCATTGTTAGATCATGTTAACTCATGGTGCATTAACTTATGTTAACAAGCATGGACTTGGATGTTAACAATGCATTAGTAAATGTTCAATTATGATTAATAAATGCTGTACATGTGTTGTTCATGATTAGTTCATGTTAGTAAATGCATTAACTAATGAACCTTATTGTAAAGTGTTACCTTTTGAGTTATTGCCGTCTATCACTAAATGTGTCAGGAATATCAAAAACAAAACCAGCTTAACTGCGCTCATTTCTGGTGCCCCCCTGGATGTACAGCGCCCTTAGCATTTGCCTATACTGCCTATGCCACAGGCCGACCCTGCATATTGAAGAATTAAAAATGTACAGGACACTAATAACTTTGTTTTCCACTGTATTTACAGTGCCTATCTTCGCACCCTGTGAAAATGATTATTAATCTACTTACATTACACCCTGCTTTAAAAAGACCTTCAGGATAAATGTGCAGAGAGACACCGGTTATACTGTAGGGGAAGAGGCTACAAACACATTTGAAACACTGGAGAAGTTTTTGGAATGTGATTTCAGGCTGGATGACAAATAAAGTCATTATTTCTGTGGTATTGTCTATAGGCACTGTATACATAATAAAACTGAAGTTTTTGTTTTTGGAGTGTATCAGGAGGTGTGTGTCTGACCTGTGCGCTGTAGCGTGTGTGTCTGCGCTGACGCTGCCGTCGCTGTGGAGTGTGTGAAGTGGGAAGCCGACGGGTTGACGCTGTCGCTGCTGTCTCCGCTCTCAGTGCTGGAGATCTCCTCCTCCTCAGACTCCCGCAGAGATGAGCACGGAGACGCTCCCTCCACCTCCTCAAACTTCCTCTTCAGAATCCCACTCATGACTGACAGACAGAGAGAGGCAGAGAAAGAGTAGGTAAACATAACATTCATATTCTCTACACAGACAGACATTCATTCATTCATTTTCTTTCAGCTTAGTCTCTGATTTATCAGAGGTTGCTACAGTGGAATGAACTGCCAACTATTCCATCGTATGTTTTACACAGCGGATGCCCTTCTGGCCAGTATTGGGAAACACCCATGCACACTCATTCACAATGACCAATTTTAAGAGTTCACAATTAGTTAAAGCTTGATTATATTAGCAGGTTTGCCATGCTGTTCCAGGAGAGAACCCTGAGCTCGGTGATGGATGAGCCCAGGGTTCCCATCTGTTCAATGAGAATTTTAAGGGATACGAGATCAAGTAGTTCTCGAGAGCTCCACAGGTACAGACCGGCAACCATGCCAGTGTGTACGTATTAAATGCTTGTGACTTTTTCTTGTGTCACATTTCTTTAATCTGTGGGGGGAAACTGAAGTACCAGGGAAAACCCATGCAAAGACAGGGAGAACATGTAAACTCTGCACAGAAAGTGCCTACTGGCTCAGCTAGTACTTGAACTAATGACCAGTGCTAGCCACTGAGCCGCCGTTTTGCCCAACCCTAAAACTGAGGAGGAGGGAGAAGGGATGGTTGGGGGGGAGGGTCTTCCGAAACAAAGATAAGAAATAAAGTTAAGCTGGATATTTATGTTAAATTTAGAATGATCTGATTGGCTAACTAATAATTAGCAATAGGGACCAGCTGCGGTCAATCCTATCATGTGCTTCTCATAAAATTGAAATTTCACTAAGGTCCCGTTTACACTAATGCGTTTTCGTTTTAAAACGCATAAGTTTTGCTACGTTACGCCATTCGTCCACACTACGTCAGAGTTCTCGAGCGCCGAAAAGGTAGTGTTTTGAAAACGCTGGAGAGGCCATTTCATTCTGAAACACTGCTGCTCCATCTTGTGTGGATGAGGAAAAACGGAGACATCTGAAAACGGAAGCGGGACTGCTGAGATTCGCTACCTGATTGGGGATTTTGTGTTATTGCCTTCGTCACAGTATCCTTCCCATATTCGTCAAGCCTCTATCACATGACTATAACACATGGCTTTAACGCTACCGGAAAACAGTACTGTAAACAACAACATGGACAGAGAAATGGGAGCATTGTTTGCACTATTGTCTGTTTTAGGCGCCACTGTGCAGTTATTCATTTGTTACATTTAGTAACAACTCAATCTCGTTGTCTGTCCACAAAAATACCTCTCTTGCTTTCTTTGCCATCGTGTTTAATGTTCAACCGGCGTTTGTTGACTAACAATAACCAATTGCCGAGCGAGACACATGCTTTCTGTTTATACAAGAATGCGCATGCTAGACTAGTTTATACTAGAGTGCGCGAATGGTCACGTGATATACGTTTTTGGTGGCGTAGTGTGGACTGAGATATGTTCAGTGACGCTAGGTGAAACGCTAGTGTGGATGTGGATTGTTTTTGATCTTAAACGCCGTTTTAAAACTAAAACGCACTAGTGTAAATGGGGCCTAAGTTTACTCAATTCACCTGTAGCGCATATGTTTGGACGGTAGGGGAAACTGGAAACACACGCCAACACAGGGAGAACATGCAAACTCCACACAGAAATGCCAACTGACCCAGCTGTAACTCGAATGAGCGACCTTCTTGCTGTGAGGTATCAGTGCTAACCACTGAGCCACGAGCCACCATGCTGCCTCAAACACAGAATTCTGGATTTACTATATTTACAGTTGAAACCAGAAGTTTACATACACTGTATAAAAGGGCACACAACCATTTAAAAAAGTCAGATGTTAATGTAATTTTCAGTACACTTCCTGCAATGTGTTTTGACACTGTATTTATTATGAACATTGAACAAATACAAATTACAATTTTGTGTAACATGCAAATCACTGTGCTAGACTATTGTAATAACATGTAAACACAAACACACACATGAAGTATCACTATGTATAATCCTCATAAAACAAATAACATATAAACAAATAAATCCTCACTTCACCTCAAAAAACGTAAGTTTATCTAAGGTTTATCTAATTGACAACATTTGAGTTAATTGGAGGCACAAGTGTAGAATTTAAGGAAAACCTCAAACACACTGCTTACTTGTGTGACAACATGAGAAAATCAACAAGCCAGAATCAACAACAAAAATAGTAAACATTAAGTATAATTTACCATCAGACATTTTGTAAAAATGCTTATGTTCCTTTTTTGTGAGTGTATGTAAACTTCTGATTTCAACTGTATGCATGACACTTTTCATGTAGTGTAACTCATTTCCATCATTCACTGATTCATAAGATAAGGCTTTCCTCAAGAAACACATTTTTTATGTTTTCAAACACATTTTTGCTTCAATTAAATGTGCTAATATGTTTGATCTTGGAAACCTTGTACACTCTCTGAAATAAAGGTACACAAGCTGTCACTGGGGTGGTACCTTTTGAAAAGGTACAAGTTTGTACTTGAAGGGTCCATATTTGTACATCAAAAGTATTAGTTCCCTAAAATTTTAAGAGGAACACTTTTGTACTTTTCAGATACTTATTTGTACTCAAAATGGACCTTTTAGGTACACACCTGTGCCTTTTCAATGATAGCTCATGTACCTTTATTTCTGAGAGTGTACAGTGAAAGAGCGTTGAGCCCCTGTTGCTCAGTTCTCTGCTTCTCAAAACACTCCATTAGTGATAAACGCTGAAACACTTCCTGCTCTGCTTTCCTGTCCTCCTCCTCCTCCTGCCATTGATCAGCAGCCTCACAGGACCACAGGAGAAAAATAAAAATAAAAAAACAGGACTAATTGAATTCTACCTCAGGCTTCCAGGAAGTCCATTTGGTCTGTGTTTGATTGAGTGTCTTCAGCAAAGAAAACAAATGTGAAACTCGAGATGAGTTTTCAGAATTGCGCTCATAAAGCACCTCGGCTTCAGGAATTTATTCATCATCGCACAAGGACACGAAACAAAAAAAAAATTTATGAAAAGGCCGCATGGAAAGAAAGGTCCCCTAGATAAAAATAAATGTTCAGCTGAATAAAATAAGTTGAATCTTTTAGAGCAGAAGTGAACAAAGCTTTCAGTTTCTACAGAAGACGCAGCGAAATTGTTCCAATTCAAATTCGCCTTACTGTACAAATTTGATGGTTGCTATGCAACACGGAATATTCCGAGTTCCCTGAAGTGCCCTGAAATGTGCAGCTTTTATGTGTAATTTCAACTGAAACATCAAAACAGGAGGAATAACCAATCAGAGTCGAGCTTAAAGCACAAATGAAATCCAAACTTAGCATATTGATTTTGTTAGCTCATACTGCCATAGATATATACACTAGATATCGCATACGGACCATGAGCATGCGTCAATAGCCCTTTTCACACAGTGATAAATATCCAGAAAAATTTAATTCTCCTTACTGTACAAATTTTATGGTTGCTAAGCAACCCAAAATATTCAGAGTTCCCTGAAGTGCCCTGAAATGTGCAGCTTTGATGTGTAATTTCAACCGAAACATCAAGACAGAATATCGAGTAGCTCCTCCTCCTTTAGAAAATTAATAGCCAATAGCATTTGATGTCTATCTCAGCTCAGCCAATTAGAGTAGAACAACTAGCAGAGCAACATACAGATCTAGAAACACAGAAAAAGTCCCAATAAAATGACATAGCATGGATTGCATTCCTTTTTTCCTGGATATATCCTCTTGGGAATAAAAAATGCATCCAGCCAGGATTTCCAAATCACCTATTTAAAATCCCTGAACTTGGTTTTTGCTTTCTACAGTCATCACAAATTTTATGCATTTTTGCACTACTTTTACCTTCTTCTTTAGGCCATGGCTTGTTGCACACCACCATTAGTGGGTCATGTAGACTGTAAAAAATAAATTTACAGTTTTCCATATTTCGTGATTCATGTATTTTATTTTATTTTTTAAATATTTTTTTATTATTATTTCTGCTTTTGAACCGCATTATGCACACTCACAATGACACAGGCCTTAAAAACTCATGCAAATGCTAAACTTTTACTCCATTTTTCTCCACAGCCTTGTGATGTGACTACATTGCAGATGCTGAAATTATATATTGTGTTTTTCTAACTTACACATACACTGAAAAAAATATTCAAAGATGATCCCTTGGATTTACTCAATTTTTTTTACGTTAAGTGGTTGTAAACAATTTTTTTGGGCTGAATTTAAACAAACAAATTATGTTGAACATTATTAAACTTAATTTGTTTGTTTAAATTCAACACAAATAAATTATTTGCAACAGTACTGCATGCAACACTTTTGTAAGTCCTCTTTTTTTTTTAAAGTGCAGTATGTAAGTTTGACACCCAGTGGTTGAACTAGGTATTGCATGCCTGGATCAAAACACACACCAGTTGCCAGATTGAGGACAGGAGCAGGTGATTTAAATCATGCTCTATATACATGAAGCCGGAACGTCTTCTGTTTCTCACAGCTGCAACAGAAAACTGACAATGGTCACCTCAGGTACACCTGATATGCTTAATCCAGTGTTAAATGCTAATAATGTGATTTTGAATGCCATTTTACATGACAGTTATTGCCATATACTGAAAGCAGCAGCAGATAGTTCACCTCAGATCTTAAAAATAAAATAAGCTTTTTGAAATTGAACTAAAGACATATCAGTGATTCAGCATGTACATTTACATTTAGTAATTTAGCCGATGCTTTTATCCAAAGCGACTTACAAATGAGGACAAGGAAGCAATTAACACAACTATAAGAGCAACAATGAATAAGTGCAGTAGGTGAGTTACAGGTGTGTAAAGTCTAAGAAGAAAAAGCATTAGTAAATTTTTTTTTTTTTTTGAGTACAGTTAGTGGTATAGCCAGAGAGGCAACTGCAGATTAGGAAGGAAAGTGGAGACTAAATAGTTGAGTTTTTAGTTGTTTCTTGACAACAGCAAGTGACTCTGCCGTTC